TCATTTTCAAAAAGTGAAAAATATGTGGTTAAAGAAATCTGATTCTGAAGGTAAATCTTTTCAAAACTTTGTTGTTAATAAGAAGTCATTTGTTGTTCAACATGTGGAATGAATGACTTCATCAACAAGAAGAATGCCAACAGATGGTATGGAAATAGCTGGTATGGAAACAAATGGATTAGCAATACCAGATATGACAATAGATGGTATGGAAAGAATTGGTATGAGAACAATTGATATGAGAACAAGTATAATAATGATTGGTATGATACTTATTTTATATCTGACCTACCTGTTAAAAGATCTAAAAAATATCTGATAAGAATAAATGGTATGGCACATATAGTATTCCCCATACCAGTGCTAACAAAATAGGACCCTTGTTTGTGTGGGTACCAAAATCTATTTAATCTATTTTGCAGGTTTGTCATGTGTTGTGTTGATTTCAGACAACTAATCACATGATAGACCAATGCATGGTTTGAGGGAAAGTGTGTGATATGCCAATATAGCTTCTGAACACACAATTCAAGACCTGGTCTTCAACACAGTTTCTAAACAACTCAGTTCTGAACCTGAGCTAATCTGATTCAAGAGAGCATAATGATCTATTTTTTGCACTGTTTTAATATGAAATCTATATTCAAAGGGGAGTATTTGAAAATTTTAAATGATCATTTTCTAGGGGGAGTAAATATGTTATTTTATTTGGGATTTTGAGTTTTGGATTTTAACTGATATAATTTGTACAGGAGTTTTTGGAAGATGAAAAGTTATCCGATAAAGCCTTATCCAGACAAAGGCTTGTCCGATGAGGACTCTATCCGGGCAAAGCGTTGTCCGATGAAGGTCCAATCCAGACATAGTTGTGTCCGATGATAAGGTTATCCGGACATTCTTTGATCGATTTGGTGATTGTCACGCCCCGATTTTTTTTTCTTTCTATCGAATGTCGTGACGTCATTCTTAATAACTTATATCATGAACAAAAATACGAACTTAAAATTTCAAACACACATAATATGTTTAACATAATTCGTTACATAATTGCGGAAGCGTAAAATACTTTAACGTAATCAATGCTAATTAAAATATCTAATCAAGCATGATTCAAAACATAGTCTCGCCTTTCTTCGTTCACTCGTCTACTGACAAATGACACCTGAGATA